GGTTGATCATATCCTTTGAATTGGATGTATAACCTTATTGTGACCTGTCTCTTGGCAAACACTTGTTGTTCTCTTCTGTGTATGTAAATGTTCACCCTTATCTTTTAGCAGTGAAATCTGGACGTCAATTTTGGGAGGTCCCTTTCGCGCAGAGCACTGCTCACCAGGATGTTTCCCAGCTCTGTGGAATGGCATGTGCCATGTTTAATTAGATCATTTTAAAAAAAAAGTATTTGTACTTGCAGTCAACTTGCAACCCAATCAGATGAATCAAATCCAAATTCCCAAGGTTTACTTTTGGGTAAACATGTAGATTTTTTTGGGGATAAGTTCACCAACTCTTTGACACCATGTCTGGCCATCAGATGGAAACAGTCCTGTCGAGATCGCCAGCAAATCCGTGGTTTTGTCTGGGGAAATCCTCAGGCAAGCAGCTTCAAGTTGAAAGTTTGAGCTATCGATGGATGGGCTCCATTGTGAGCATGCCGATGGAATAAAAGGGAATCGGGTTGAGTTTATCGGGAATCACGGAAATCTGGGTTGTATACTTTATCTTTTTTGAAATCATCATATAACAAGGTTGACACCACTAAATTATTTGCTAGTTTGAAGATTCTACTGCACCCTGTGGAAATGTTTGATGGCAAGTTGAATCAGCAAACTGCTCCTCAATCTTTACCAATGATTTGGAGAGAGACCCCACAACAATCCACACATATGGAATCCCCACAAATAGTGTGAGCCTTCCCAAGAGGCATTCCAGCCCAACACCGCTCGGATTATCCGCGCCCAGGTCGCAAGACCGAGCCACGGAAGCCACCAAAGGTGCGTGGTCAATGGAGGGTCCGGTCTACGATCCTGAAGCAGAGACGTCGGGGCTGGCATGTTTTTGTGTTCCACATGGTGTCAAACATTTTCAACACTTAGAATAGCATGGGACAGCGATGTCAGTTTCTGCACGAAAATTACTCATTCTTTGAAATTCCATTCGGACATGTTTCAAAGGACTACCCTTGAGAAATTGGTGTGCATGATGTCTAGCTGCTTTGAGTTGTATGCTCAACTTCTGGTCAAGGTTCAAACCTCCATCACCGACCCTCCATGCTCAGAATCAGTAGGGGCTCTGTCAAACTGAAACTGAAACTAATATATATATATATAAATACACACATGCATGCTTTTACACATTTTCATATTCCGAATGGTCATGTATGCTCATTAACCCAATTGATAATTGCCCTTCAAAGTTTCTTCAAGCTTTCAGGGGGATGTGGGAAATAGTTTTGGTGTCGAGAGTCGCCATCTTGAAAGCCATGCTGGATCTCGATGCGCTCACTTGGCGCCTGTGGAAGTTAGGAATGCCCCGAGTCCATTGCCTAGATGGATCATATGAAGAAAGATCATACAGCATATGTTTCCAAACCATCAGTGCTCCTTACTTTTTGGTGAAATCATTTGGAGACTTTCCAAGGCATTTGTTATGTGCATCCTCTTGCTTTGCTGGACCTATTCAACGGATGAGGACTTCAATACACCCGTGGTTTTACAGAAATCCATGGTATGTGATCTTAATATCAGATTAGCTTTTGGGGTAATTGGGCATCCTGCCGGCCACATCGCTTGCAGGAATTCCAATGGTTGGAATACTTTGCAGGAGAAGCCAATTTGACTTCTGTCATGGCTTCGGCCATGTACACTTGCGGAAAGTTTGACATCCTTTACAATGAACAACCCGAACATCGGAAGTCGAACTACATGGACTTAACTCATGCCTCCGGATACGGGTTACTGATCTATTCACATGGTACGTTTTGTTCGCCCAACCCTGGTCTCATATCGATGTATATAGCTGGATTCTCTTGTGAAAAAATGAAATAAATGGGACACAGAAATTTATACAGTAATGGGTTGGGGTTGGTCCTGGGGCAAATGGTTTCCGACACTTGTTTCACTTTCAAATAGCTGGTTTACACAGTATACAATGTTAGCAACTTGGATCGGCCCATGGTTTTCAAGTGATTTATGTACAATATTTCTCTGGTTAAATCATAGGACATCAAAAATCACTATCAACATATCTTTCTTTTTTAATGAGCACATGGAACCCCATGAAGAAACTTGTTAGCAGAGGGACCAAATCAAAGCCCCCTGAATGTATACTTAATACCATTTCTTGCCCTGCTCAGGTTGGCCCTGCTCTGCATCTTGCGATGCCGGGTGGGTGACTTCGCTGCCCATCTTGGGTTGAAATGCTCTTCCCTTTGCAAGATGAACCGTGGTACATCTCAGAGAAGCGCATGTGCATCGGTTGGGTTCTGGGAATATCCTTCAGTCTATACTGCGAATGTCCTCATTGAAAGGAGAGCTATAGTATGTTTGATGGGTGTTGAATGCTAACAAGTTACATTGGGTTTTCGATAATATTTATAATTTTCCTTCGAAAGGAATCCATATCCCATGCCCTGTGATCCCGACCTCACAGGAGTTGCACAATGGTAGCTTTGGTGACGGCCCTCGGCGGGCTGTGGTCTCTTGAGCAGCCCTCAGGGTCAGTTCTCGAATACTATCCTACCTGGCGTCACCTTATGGCCAAAATTTTCGAAAATGGAGGTGTTCACAGCGTACCCAAGATTTTGCCAAGATTTTCTTGTCGTAGACTGTTTGTATCTGTTTGGCAACCCCAGATGACTCCTTCAATTTAATTCCCAGCCAGTTCTGGCATGCTTCCACCGCTTTCCATTCCCAACTAAGGTGACGACGGTGCGGTGGTGGATGGGGCATTACAATGCTCCCACGCCTAAGAGGCATTGGGGGGCTTCAAACTCGCCCCTCATCCGGAAGATCGATAAGGGGGTACTTCAAGGGTGGAAAAAAAAGTCTACTTCGACTCCAGTGGTCAAGTACAGGGATTCCCAAGGCCGTGAGAAGTACAAGGGAACAAAGGATTTGCGTAAAACGGAGAAACTTGGTTGATGAATTAACGTGGGATTTGTTGAATGTTTTGCACGTTGACTATTTCCCCCAAGTATTTATAATCGAAATCTTTCTTGTCAGTATTTATATGGGAAAATGGCCCAATTTTGATTATCTTGGTGTTGGGTCCTGAGCACCTTATACCGCATGTGTATATATACGCCCTTCAATTCCCTTGGTTCGAATGCCCTTGCCCAGCCCTAGGGTCTATCCGGTAGCTTTCGCACGGGAGATCCTGGATTCTGTGGAGGCCATGAAAGCTTCCACCCACGGGCAGCCAGCATTACCCAATCCTCTTCCCACTGCTTTCGAGACCTTTACCACTATGAAATGGTCCACTGATGACGACATTTGGGGATTTGTAGACTTCGCCCAGCTTTTCAACTACATCCGCAACAATCGGTCCCTGCGCATTCCCAGTGAATGGAAAGCTGTTGTGCCCAAGACCATGTGACCAGCCTTCAAAACATGTACTATCATGTACCAAACATTTGTATACCCGAATTCTTTGTTGGTGTATATTGCCTCAATGATGTTAGAGTGATTCAGGTCCCAATGGCTTCCAGCTTTTCAGGTAGAATTGTATGCTTTTACATGGTTTTATGTTATTTTTTTGGAAAAAAGTTCGGGTTTGCCCCGAACCCGTACCAAACCCGTACCAAACCCGTACTAACCCGTACTATTTCCCGGAAAACCTCGGGTTTATCTCAATACCTCGGGTATCCTCAACCCGTACCAAACCCGTACTTTACCCGTACTAACCCGTACTTTTAGTATGGGTTTGGATGGTTCCGATTTTTCCAATTTTTCATATGTTTATGATTGGGTTTTTAGCATCATAAAAATCGAAAATCCATTTCCAGGGTGCACACAGCTGTGGGATCGATTTGTTTGTGAAAACATAATTCAAGTGGACAGTGGTTCGTAGCACTGCCCATATGTTTCAATTCACTGACCAATTTACTTTGCCCATTTGCGAGCCTGACTACGCCCGCTGGAAAGAAACAAAGATGACAGCTCACCGCTTTGAGTGAAATCAGTGGTGATGAAGTTAGATCTTTCACAACTGTGGGGGGAATTTAAAAGCAAGTGCCAGCGATTAGCAAAATTAACTTCACCACAGCCATTTCCCGTCTGCAGCACAAAGACCGGCCATAAATCATGGCCGAGCAGCGGAGTCAGTCCACCATGGGGTTTGGCAGCTGTGCCACCTTAGAAGATGGTATCAGCCGTGTTTGCAAAGGGAATAATGTAGGTGAGTTGGATTTGATCCCCGATGATGAAGAAGCTCTTCTGCGTGAACTTGAGGATAGCTGGGGGGATAATGATGATGCGGGGTGCTAAGATATTCCAGGTATTCTAGATAAACTTAAATATATATATATATACTGTGTATATATATATATATACATGTGATGGGCTCAAGCCCCTAAATTTGCTGAAGAGAGATATAAATCTTGTGATCGATTTCAAGACTCTGAAACCAAGTACCATCAAAAGGACATAAAGTTCAAACGGCTTGTGATTTTGACCAGCTGGTTCTCATATATATATATATATGCATGGTTATACTTGGAGTGTCCTGCAAGGAGTTGGACCAGAAGCTTTCTACGGGTGATGACCCAACAGAAGGTGGTACACCAAAGGTTCTGGCCTCAAGAGCTATTCAGATTGTACTTTCAACTTTCAACCAACAACTGCATAGATGATTTTAGATATGAAGTTTTCCTGACAAACCTTCACTTGTCAGAAGCTTTCATTGCATCAATAACCCCTGAATCCTGAAGTGCGACCCCTGCAATCTCAGGCATCCCCTGCTGATTCGCTGACCACGGCTGAGACGATTCCTGCTGAAGCCTCAGCAGAAGTCACGACCAGAAACTTGCTTGAGGCTATTGGATTTTTTTGAGAAACACACAAGGCAGAAATGTTTGAAGTGCACATGCACCCATGCTTGCATGCAAGTGTGACGGTGGGGGCAGGGGTTCTTGAAATTGTATCGTATCACACAATGAGATTTTAAACCGTCCACTCTAAGCATCGTGAAAAAGGGAAAAAAAAATAATAGACCAGCTTCACTGGAATATGTTCACCATTGTGGCAACGAGGCATCAGAGGAAGAGCTACGTGACAACTGCGGGGATCCAAAGCTTCCAGCTGCAGTGCGCTGGCCGCATTAGAGTTGAGAAAAGAAATCAGACATATATATATATATATACATATTTGAGATCAGATGCAATCAATCTTAGCGTGACATGGGAAGCTTGACTTCCTTTGGATTTACATATAGTTCCAAAGCACAGGTTAGATGTATGTTTGTGGAATCTTTCACCTTTATGGTGCAGTGTGATATGAACATTCAGCAGCCTTTGTTATCTGGCTACCACATGAGGCATCTGAGCCTGGTGAGCAAGTTGAGCGTACTCCTGTTGCCACTCCTGTTAGGGCACGACCTGCTGACACAGAGACCCCCCAGCCCAATTCAGTTGAACCAACAGTTCCGTCAGCTGAAGTTTCAGTTCCTGCGCCTGGTGGCAAACCTACAAAGCCAAAGAAGGTTTTGACTCGTCAGGTTGGAAGGTTCCAAAGGGGATGTTAGTTGAAGTACTTGTTGAATTCGCTGTGGGTTTGTCAAAGAGTTTAGTACATATTGATTCAATTTAGTTTTCGCTGGCCCTACATTTCTTTTTGGGGTTTATGTTATATATCCTAATTGGACCACCGCTGCCCTGCACACAGGACAGGCTTCGTTTGCAAGCCAAAGCTCGCATTATCAGGATGGTCAAACCCAAGACTAAGAGAAAGGACCTTGAAGCTCCACAGTACGTGATCGACGAGTGGAAAACCGGAAATAAAAACGCCATAGCGGACCTGTTGAAGGAAGCAAACTTTTGCCAGGACATATTCTGAGAGCAATTTTTCCACACTATCGTTTGCAGATACCTACGCTTTAATCACACCATACACCACTATATATATATATATAGGGCTTGCCATTGCAGGAGAAGTTTTTCAACACGTTGCAAATCATGATCCGGAAGAAACAGTCTGTGGAACTGTTGGTGGACGAAGGGTGGTTTTGCGAAGCTGAGTTACGAGATGACCACGGCTGGTCCCAGTTCATCCCTCAATAAATTTGTTTTCGTGGAATTTGAAATGCTGCTACATGTGCTACAAAAAATATAATCGCATAGCGCGTTCCAACCCATATATGCAGGCATGCGTGCGCGCAAAACCCAGGCAGAAAATCGACGGAGCGAAGGCTCACTGCATGAGCATGGGGGATTCTCATTGCAGGACAGTCTTCGAGTCACAAACCACTTGAATAGAGTTTATCACGCTATCTTGCAAACTCAACATCAACACCTTTTTTCCCCACCTGCCAGGTGAAGGTTGTTAGATTTTATCAGAGTTGTTCTCCTCCTCGGCTAGCTGTCCTCCTCCTCCTCCTCGTCCTCGTCCAGTTTCTCCTCCAGTTTCTCCTCGACCATGTCTGCATCAACTTCCACCTCCACTTCCGCCTTGCCAACTCGTCGCCAAGCTCTTTGCCAACTTCCCAGCTCAGTGTGCACCGCTGGACCTCAACCTGGGACCTTCCCAGCTCAGTGCGCACCGCTGGACCTCAACCTCGGACGTTCCCAGCTCAGTGCGCACCGCTGGACCTCAACCTGGGGTCTTCCGAGCTCAGTGCGGATCGCTGGACGTCAACCTGGGACCTTCCCAGCTCAGTGCGCACCGCTGGACCTCAACCTGGGACCCTCCCAGCTCAGTGCGCACCGCTGGACCTCAACCTGGGACCTTCCGAGCTCAGTGAGCACCGCTGGACCTCAACCTGGCTCAGTCAACCTCCTTGAAGGGGTGAACCTCGGCTAAGGTTTCTCCTTGGGGGTGGTCGTGGTTAACCCCCCGGCATGGTGGTGCCTGGTGCCTTGAGGTGGAGGTGAATGTCAGGTAAGGTGTTTGCTTGGGGGTGGTTGTGGTTAACCCCCCGGCGTGGTGGTGCCTGGTGCCTTGAGGTGGAGGTGAGCCTCAACTGGCTCCCCTGAGCGGGGCATGGTTGACGACAGCGAGTTTCATCCATGTGAAGTCACGTTTTGGGTGTTGTGTGCGAGATGATCACGCGCGACATATGGCATGGATTTTTAAAGCATGTTTTGGCTTCATAAATGCCAGAAGATATGCCAGATAGAATGCTAGATAGCATGTCCGATAGAATGCCAGAAGATATGCCAGGTAGAATGCCAGAAGATATGCCAGGTAGAATGCCAGAAGATATGCCAGATAGAATGCCAGAAGATATGCCAGATAGAATGCCAGAAGATTTGTCAGTAACAAAACGTATAAATGTCATGGTGGGGATCACTCGAAGTAAAGTAATTCTTACCTGTTTTCCAAATCTTGGTTCGCCGGCTCAAGTCATCTCACACACTTCCCAGGAGAAACTGCTATGATGGCCAGCAAGAGTTTTGGGTCGTGCTTAAAGAAACGGGAAAGCGAAAGGAGAAGCACAGTTTCGAGGAAACGCATCAGAAGCGTCAGAAGGCCATTAGTTCTCCCTATAAGTGGCTGTTCGACCTTCAGTGTTGGAATTACATGCGAGAAAATTACAAGCATGCACATATGTATGAATTTGGTATATTGCCACAGCCCATGCCAACCCAATATGCATGCCGGGTCACAAACACCGCACTTCGCCGGGCGTGAGGCCAATGGAGAGCCTACGTGGAACATGGCCGATGTCTTCAAGGGCAAGGGTGTGGAAGGGTTCAAGGAACGAACCGAAGCTGCCGCCACTGCCAAGCTTACATTTCCTGACTCCAATAAGTACTCTCAGGCCATCTTCAATCCAATTATTCGTGCTTGAACCGCTTTCATTGTTGAATATTTGCCATGTGGAACATTCTCGTTCACAACTATCGTCAAACGCATAGTTCATCCCACCCTGGTAGACCAAAGACGCCCTGAAAAAGTTCCTCGAATCGATGATGTCCAAATCTGGCAAGATGAGAGGCTTAGTCCGTGAACTTCGAACCCAGTTCAAAGACCCCAACGCTGAAGAGTGGCTTAGAACATACTTGTGACCAAAAGAGTTTTGTTTACATAATCCACACTGGGAGAATATGTTTATTTAATCCCCGGAATGGTCATTTCAATTTACCACGCCCAATTCAACCTCAGGGACAACCCGGCCTTCTCTCCAAGGTGTGCCAAGACTTTGGAGGCGGAGATCAAGAAAATTGATGCGCAGTACGACCTGTGCAATGAAGCATGGGCCAAAGGAGAACAGGAGAAATTTTGGGGTGATGAGTTACTTGACAAAAATATAGTATACAATCATTTACAACAATCATATACAATCATTAAGGTACCACCACCTTTTGACAACCCACTATATATGCAATATATCAATTGTTTTCCAAGGTCCATCATGAGTCTCCATGTGGAAACGGAGCGCATGCATGCATGCTCACATCATTTTAAATCATATCTTAAATTCTTGGCGTCGCAGAGGTTCTTCAAACTGGCTGAGAAAAGGATGAAGGATGCAACCTTCGTGTTCAAATCTTAGATTCAAGTCATGTCAGTACCAATCCTTTTTGTGAAATTCATGTCATGCAGTCCATTGCAAACACAATCTCTGACAAATCTTGATGGCCCGGGGCGGGGATGGGGCCCGTGGGCCTCAGGTGCTCGAAGGCTGCTGCGCATGAGCTCAAAGTCAGGACGGTTCTGCATCCTGCACCGCTTGGCAGTGAAGCAGAGTCATATATGATATATCATAAATCACAATTTATATATATTATTATATTATTTATATATGGGTTCAGATTTAATTACACAACAATGTCTGGTCACCTGTAAAGAAAACATATGGATGTATATTTTATCGTTGAGTGTACCTGCATTGGTGCAGGAACGCTAAGAAGTACTACGAGAAAAAGTCGAGGGATGAGCGTGGGGCCGGAAAGCCGCCGGGGCAGGTCAAGTCAGTCCCGCGGAAGGCAAAGAAGTAGAAACATGGGAATGAAATATGCAGACACCTTACTTTGAAGCCAGCTTTACTTGGCATTTTGTGGGAAGAGCAGCTCAAAGTTGGAATCCCAACTGTGCCAGTTCTTGTTCGCCAGTGGCATTCAATGTTTGAAATTGTGTTGACTAAACCTCAATTTGTTCATGTTGAAACCAAAAAGAGATCTTGGCCGAGAAATCTAACAAAATCCTATTTATGTTTGTTGTTGCCAAATCTTGGTCGTTGATTTGCGTCAGCCACGGCCCCATGCAATACTTTTGCATATACATTCAATGATGGGACCGCAACGAAAGAGTTGCCCGTTCACACTTGGAACTTTCAAAGTTTGCAGAAGCGAAGGGGGTTCAAAAAAACTGTTGCTTAATCAAGTGCACTGGATGTGAACAAAACATACGTCCTTAGGATCCCTCTATATGTCTGTATATATATATATATCAAATGGTGATGGAATTCTTCACTTCCATAATCTTTATCTCATATATATATATATATATATACGCAATCCCATATATAATTGCATATATATATATATGCACACACTTCTATCCCAACCTCCCTGTGTCCAACCAATCCTTCTGCGTGCCAGGTCCCCGTCCTGGCAACTTTATTCGAGGGGTGAATGCCAGCATCGGTGAGGGAGCCCTTGCCTCAGACGGCAGTGGAGTGCAGTTCAGTTGTCACCTATCTTCGCGAACTGCAGCCTCAACTCTTTACACCTTCAAGGGGTGTAAATTATAATACGGGGGCTAACTGGGATGTTTTGATTTCATCATCCGCATGCAACTTGATAAAATCGCATTCTGTCCTGGCAAATTGATATCATAGGGTACATCAAGGAAACAACAGTGAAATCACTTAAGCACATGTTCCCTTTGCATTTTCGACCAATGATATATGAACTATGGGTTGAACATTGAACAATAATTTTCCATCGGTTTATTCCCTCATGAGCAATGGCCGATGAGACCACCGATGATGAATTGTTCGATCTTTTGACTTCGCACCGTTCAGACACTTGGCTTCACTCCACCTGTTTTCCTGTGTGTTTAGTGTGTGTGTGTGTTGTTTGTCTCTTTTGGGAATGGCTCAATGGTTGGCATTTCATTGACACCCAATAGACAACAATTACCGTTGAAGTTTGGGAACATAGCCATACATAACCCATGATTAAAAAAAACAAAAAATCAAATAATTACTTTACTTCGTATGATCCCCACCATGACATTTATACATTTTGTTACTGGCAAATCTTCTCGCATTCTATCTGACATATTTTCTGGCATTCGATCTGGCATTCTATCTGGCATATCTTCTGGCATTCTACCTGGCATATCTTCTGGCATATCTTCTGGCATTCCATCTGGCATTCTATCTGGCATATCTTCTGGCATTCTACCTGGCATATCTTCTGGCATATGTTCTGGCATACCTTCTGGCATTCCATCTGGCATTCTATCTGGCATATCTTCTGGCACATTATCTGGCAAATCTTCTGGCATTCTATCTGGCAAACATTCTGGCACTTTATCTGGCATATCTTCTGGCATTCTATCTGACATTTTTCCTGGCATTCGATCTGGCATATCTTCCAACATTCTATCTGGCAAACATTCTGGCACTCTATCTGGCATATCCTATGGCATTCTATCTGGCATATCTTCTGGCATTCTATCTGACATTCTATCTGGCATATCTTCTGGCATTCTATCTGGCCGTTGAGGTCCAGCGGTGCGCACTGAGCTGGGAAGGTCCCAGGTTGAGGTCCAGCGGTGCGCACTGAGCTGGAAAGGTCCCAGGTTGAGGTCCAGCGGTGCGCACTGAGCTGGGAAGTTCCCAGGTTGAGGTCCAGCGGTGCGCACTGAGCTGGGAAGGTCCCAGGTTGAGGTCCAGCGGTGCGCACTGAGCTGGGAAGGGGTCAGGTTGAGGTCCAGCGGTGCGCACTGAGCTGGGAAGGTCCCAGGTTGAGGTCCAGCGGTGCGCACTGAGCTGGTAAGGTCCCAGGTTGAGGTGCAGCAGTGCGCACTGAGGTGGGAAGTTGGCGAAGAGCGAAGTGGAGGTGGAAGTTGATGCAGACATGGTCGAGGAGAAACTGGAGGAGGAGGCAGAGGAGGAGGAGAAGGAGGAGGAGGAGGAGGAGGCGGAGGAGGAGGACAACAGCTGTGATAAAATCTAACAACCCTCACCTGGCAGGTGGGGAATAAGACTGATATTGATGATTTTTGTGGATTCCAAATGCATGTGAGGAAAAGGATGGGCCCTTTCCATGGGCCAAGACTCCTACAGTACTTCCAGCTGCACAACCGGAGATTAAGGATCACATCCCCCAAAAGGATGAAGGTTGCGAGCTGTCAGGAGAACACATGTTTAGTCTACATGGTGTTGAGACCATGTCACATGACACAACAGCCCCAAGTAGACCACCTGCTCCAGTGCCCCGGCCAACTGGGGACCGTTCGGCATCTGATGACATCATCTTCGATCTTCCCTGTTCCATGGCAGTGGCTGGGGTTGTGCTGCGCCATGCTTACAGGGTGGTGGATAAGCTTTTGGAACAACATTCTCCCATGACATACAAGTTTGGAATCAGCCACAATGCCGAGTGGCGCTGGTGCAACTCAATCTACGGATACGCATTTTCTCGGGACAAATGGACCAAAATGTTGATTCTTTACCAAAGTGATGAGCCATGGGGACCATCGATGTTGGAGGCAGCATTAATCCACAGATATGATGGTAACTTGGTTATGCATTTATGTTTGTAAATACCATAGATTTCTTATTTTTTCCCCCGAAAATAGTAAGTCTACCCTACCTGTGGTGATCCCAGCTACAGACATATAAAAACATATTAAATACAAACAATACACTACTGCCATTCAACTTATACAGTTGTGTCTCTCCGTGGGCCCCGGATCATGCCAGGCAAGCCTGGTTGCAAAAACATCCGAAAAGGCGGAGACACCATTCCATCGCAGACCTCAGAGCAAGACCGTTTTGTCACATATGTTGTGTACAGATCATTCAAGGTGCCACCTCCCATCAGGAAAATTCAGTCCTGATGTTGAGTTACAACTCTATGTGGTTTTTCGGGTTGAATCTTAACCCCCATTGCTCAAAGCACAAATGGATATCCGCGAGGACGAAAAAATGCATCACAGCTCTGCACTGCTGAGAGAACCGGCATCAGAATTTATACTTCATATTTTGCAAGTATATACATACTGTACATTGATGTATATATTATACATATATTATACATAATACAGATTGATATATATATAATGCAAGTATACATGCACGCATTAAGTGCAAGCGAGACCAATCAACTGCTCCAGCACCAGCCCATCCATTTTTGTTCTTGTTTCGGTAGACACACATCTTGTACGTGCTGGCTGAGGCGACCTGTTCCTCTGCTATTCGTACGGCCAAAGACATTGTGAGTGATGTGGGCGAAGCTGCTGCCAAGAACTCGGGTGGGTTGTTGGATTTGGCCCAGTGTACTGAGAGCCATAGTGAAAGAGATTGTCACAGGGTGCTGGTGAACAAATTACACCTTTCACTGCCAATTCCATTCCACTATTTGGAAAAAAACAAGAAGCTGAAAATTCCAATTTTCCGAGTGCAGGACTGGTTTCGTTTTTTACTGAACCACAATTTGTGGCATGTCACGACGGGTCTTCAAAACCCGAACCCTCCTAGAAGTGAGGCGCAGTGGGAGAAATTTTGGTCTCTGTACAGGCAAGAAAATGGAAACCACCAGATCTTTGCCAGAGCTGATCGGGGCGAGATTGATCTGCGGCGCACCGCTGCTATCTTGGTGCACGGCGACGAAGGTCGAGGACGTCGCCGGCAAGCATTTTTTGTATGTTCTTTCCATTCCATTCTGGGAAAAGGATCGAGTGTGGCAGATCGAGGATCCCATTCTGAGGCATCATCGAAAAGACAGTATTGCAAACTTTTGCCCAACTTCAAAGGCCATTCCTACACCACTAGGTACCTCTTGTGCGCAATGACAAAGGATTCCTATACGCATCAAAATGATGACATGTTCCACAAGGTGATGGATTACATTTGCGATGACCTGGAGTATATGGCCAGCACTGGAGTGGTTGATCCACATGGGAAGAGATTTTGGGCAGTGATGCTGCATGTGGTCGGAGATTGGCCATGGTTGGCTAAGTGCGGCTCCTTCACAAGGAGCTTCAACAATATCCAGAAGAAGGCCGCGGCACGCAACAGGCAGCCGCCCAAAGGAATTTGCCATCAGTGTTGCGCAGGCATGGATGGCTACCCTTATGAGCAGATCCAGACTCGGAGGCCGCAATGGCTTTCAACGGAGCATCAAGTGAGCCCATTTTGGATGGATCCGCCGTGGCTTCGCTTGCCACACATTCCCAATGAAGAAGCATGCATCTGGGCTTTCGATCTGTTTCACAGTTTTCATTTAGGAGCGGGCCGCAACCTGGTTGGCGGAGTTCTTGCCCTGTACTCCACACTGGAAGCTGGAAGAAGTGTGGACGAGCGCTTTGAGCTGCTGTCAGATAGGTACAACAGTTGGACCAGATCTGAGGGAATCAGCGGGCTGATCTCTCGCATCACCAAGGAAATCATCCAATGGCCCACAACAAGTTCTTTTCCATGCGCTGGATGGCACAAAGGAGCCATCACAACTGTCATGATGAAGTGGATCGTGAGCCGGTTCTTGTCAGATGACTTGTCCGAGGAACCTCTCCTGCAAATTGCTGGGGAAGGGGCCGTGGCCATCAACGACTGCATCACAAAGATGTTTGCAAGCAATGTGTTTCTAGAGCCCCGGGAGTCTGAAACGATTGGAGAGTTGGCCCTTCGCTTTTTGAGGAGGTATGCTTCACTTGCGGAGAAAGCGGCTTCACAGAATCGACCCCTTTTCAAGATCATGCCGAAACATCACGTGATTCACAAGATTGCACTCCGGCTGCTGCTGGCCTCTCGGGCTGGGGTTCACACGTTGAACCCCATCTGCCTATCTGTGCAGATGGATGAAGATTTTATAGGACGCCCCTCCCATCTGTCCCGTCGTGTGACAGGACGGCGGGGGGGGGTGTCCATGCAACGTGTTATGGAGAGGTATCTACAATCTACATACACCTACTATGTTGATGCCGGTTTTCTCAGACTTGCTAACGCTGGGAGATAAAAAAAAACGTTGGCGGGCTGAGGTCGGGTCTTCGCAAAGAACGCACATGCGTTCAAATAGCAGCAACTGATGGTAAATGGCTATGTGGAAAGGGATGTGACAAGATTCAATGCATTTTCGAAATCTTTCAAAATTCTGGAAATCACAAACCTCGGGTTTCCATCGCAAACCTCGGGTTTCGGAACGAACCCCAAGATTTTTCAGACTATGGGTTCCTTAGGTATATATATATATTATGTAGTGTTATATAATGTCTGTACGTATGTATATTGAACATGATTCCCACTGAAGATCCATGAAGCATACCAAATCCCAACTATAGGTTCATACGAAAACAAAGTCTAGATTAAGTGGCGTGCGTGAATTCGGACAAAGATCCATTTGTTGCAAGCCATGCTTGTTTCCATTCGCAGGTTTGAGGGTCATCTTCCCCAATTTTCATACACAACCACTGGGACATGTCTCTCGAGCAACCGTTTGCGCTTCCTGTTCTTCAGACTGACCTCCGGTTAGAAAGTTCCATGGGGAGAAGAAGTGACAGCTTCAGAATGTCCAAAAATGATCTGCTTGGTGGTTTCAACCCCTCTGAAAAATATGAGTCCGTCAGTTGGGATGATGACATTCCCAATATATGGAAAGTCAGAAAATTCATGTTCCAAACCACCAACCAGTGATTCATGGTCGGTGCATGCGATTGCGAATGATTGCGACATAGTTAGATGGAAATATACAAACCAACTTAGAACGTGGGAGCACCACATTGTAGAATGTTGACCCCTGGGCTGCAAAAAGAAACCAAGTAGTGTTATAATTTCTTCGCACTTCGCTTTCCTGGAGATCATGCCAGGGCTTCATTGATCTTATCCAGGGTCGACACATGTGGACCTTGCTGAACATGACAGCTAGTTTTCATAGATCGAAGACAGGCATGCAATCAGACACCACAATTTGAGGACTGCAGTCAGTGCCCAAGAAGACAACCCCCCTGGAAGATGATTTTCCTGTGAATATGTCAAAAGTTGGTTTCCAGCCGTGCCCCATATATGTCACATCCCTCCCGTCTAAAACCAAGGGGTCAAGGGAGGTAATTTCATACTAGGAAGGATAGGATAAAGTCGGCACGATATCCCCATCTTCGTTCATGGTTTTCATTTCCCCCTCCATTTTGCCCATGATTTCGTCCCCATCCTCCCACTCAGCTCAGCCTTCGGTACCTCCTGCACCGAAGGTGGTTCCTCCGGTTCCGGTGCCGATCGTTTGAAACGTTTCGGCGCGGGCAGCGGCAGATCGGGGAGCATCTCGTCAGCGACCCTGCGCGCGATGGAGAGTCTGTGGAATTATTGTGGATTGGGGAAAAATATGAAAAATTGCTAAGAATAAGAGAAGGATTTGAACTGATTTGGACCGTTTTATTTAATCAATTTTCCGCACAATCCGCGAAAATGTAGACGCTTGGCTGGGAACAAGTTGGAGCAATCAGGTGCTGACAATGGAAACGATGTGAGGATCGTCCCCACGGAGATGTTTGAAATGACTTCAACACTCCGAACATGCAGCTCTCGAAAGGATCTCGTGCAACAATACCGGCGCACCCAGAAATGTGTGTATCTCTCCCACTGACACATACTAATACTATTGGTTTATACAAAAACATACGATAGATTATAGAACTGGTGTGTGAATTCTATTTGTAGTAAGACATGTTTGTATTCATTAACAGGTTTGATGGTATTCCTCCCATTTTTTTCATGTATATAGACCCTGATCGGATTGTAGGGCGGAAACAACTGTGAGGATTTTCAATTACTCACATTCTGACCGCATGAACCAGAAAATGTTGGCTTGAAAAATGGTTCAAGATTGAATGGTACCAACCGCTGGAACATGTCTCAGGCGAGCAACCGCTTGCGCTTCCTGTTCTTGGGACTGGCCTCCGGTTGGAAAGGTTGGGTGAGGGGCTCGGGCGAATGGCGTCAGAATGTGAAACGTTACAAGGTGGTGCTCCACAGTTAGCTAAGGTGGTTTTGTGCACTATAGACTATATAATCTATATAATGTAAGTAGGAATTATGATGATGGTAACATGTCATAACTATATAGTTACAGTATACTATAGTTGCATGGGGTTGTAAACCAACTCATAGGGGGCACCACATTGTAGATGAATGATGAACGTTGATCCCTGGTGTGGCGAAATTGGGCTACCATCTTATTCGCAATTCGTCACTTTTTTGGGGCTGATGCACCTCAACTAGGGCTTCACTGATCTTATCCAGGGTCGACACATGTCGACACTACTGAACATGACAGCTAGTTTTAATGCATGGAAAACAGGCATGCAATCACAAAAACTGAGGATTGCAGTCAGCGCCCAAGAAAACAAACCCATTGGAAGATGATTCTTCTGTGAATATGTCAAAAGTTGGTTTCCAGCCGTGCCCCAAAGTGTGTTTATCGCATACAGTCTCTGAAGGTATCTGAAGGCGTGTAATCCTTTCCCCTAATATCAAACACCCCCCCATAAGAGACCACGAAAAGAATAGATCCAATGCTAAAACCATCTAAAACCAAGGGTTCAAGGAAGGGAAATTCATAATAGGAAGGATAGGATAAAGTCGGCACGATATCCCCATCTTCGTTCATGGTTCTCATCTCCCCCTCCATTTTGCCCATGATTTCGTCCATCCTCCCACTCAGCTCGGCCTTCGGTACCTCCTGCACCGAAGGTGGTTCCTCCGGTTCCGGTGCCGATCGTTTGAAACGTTTCGGCGCGGGCAGCGGCAGATCGGGGAGCATCTCGTCAGCGACCCTGCGCGAGATGGAGAGTCTGTGGATTTTTTGGGGAATGGGGAAAAAAAATGCTAAGAATAAGAAAAGGATTTGGAATGACATGTGGACAATTTAAATTGATTTTACGCACAATCCGCGAAAATGTAGCTTCCCCACGGAGATGTTTGAAATGACTTCAACACTCCGAACATGCAGTTCTCGAAAGGAGTCGTGCAACAATACCGGCGCACCCAGAAATGTGTGTATCTCTCCCACTGATGCATACTAATACTATTGGTTTATACGAAAACATACGATACAGTAGATGATAGAACTGGTGTGTGAGTTCCATTTGTAGTAAGACATGTTTGTATTCATTAACAGGTTTGATGGTATTCCTCCCCATTTTTTCATGTACGCCCTGTTCGGGCTGTAGGGCGGAAACAACTGTGAGGATTGTCAATTACTCACATTCTGACCGCATGGGCCAGAAAATGTTGGCTTGAAAAATGGTTCAGGATTGAATGGTACCAACCACTGGAACATGTCTCAGGCGAGCAACCGCTTGCGCTTCCTGTTCTTCGCTGGACTGGCCTCCAGTTAGAAAGGTTGGGTGAGGTGTTCCACCGGCGAATGGCGTCAGAATGTGAAACGTTACAAGGTGGTGCTCCACAGTTAGCTAAGGTGGTTTTGTGCACTATAGACTATATAATCTATATAATGTAAGTTGTAAGTAGGAATTATGATGATGGTAACATGTCATAACTATATAGTTACAGTATACTATAGTTGCATGGGGTTGTAAACCAACTCATAGGGGGCACCACATTGTAGATGAATGATGAACGTTGATCCCTGGTGTGGCGAAATTGGGCTACCATCTTATTCGCAATTCGTCACTTTTTTGGGGCTGATGCACCTCAACTAGGGCTTCACTGATCTTATCCAGGGTCGACACATGTCGACACTACTGAACATGACGGCTAGTGTTAATGCATGGAAAACAGGCATGCAATCACACAATTTGAGGATTGCAGTCAGTGCCCAAGAAGACAAACCCTTTGGAAGATGATTTTTCTGTGAATATGTCAAAAGTTGGTTTCCAGCCGTGCCCCAAAGGGTGTTTATCGCATACAGTCTCTGAAGGTATCTGAAGGCGCGTAATCCCTTTCCCCTAATATCACACACCCCCCATAAGAGACCGCGAAAAGAATAGATCCAATGCTAAAAACATCTAAAACCACGGGGTTAAGGGAGGGAATTTCATATTAGGAAGGATAGGATAAAGTCGGCACGATATCCCCATCTTCGTTCGTTGTTTGATCACCCCCTCCATTGGTCCATTTTGCCCATGATTTCGTCCCCATCTTCCCGCTCAGCTCGGCCTTCGGTACCTCCTGCACCGAAGGTGGTTCCTCCGGTTCCGGTGCCGATCGCTTGAAACGTTTCGGCGCGGGCAGCGGCAGATCGGGGAGCGTCTCGTCAGCGACCCTGCGCGAGATGGAGAGTCTGTGGATTTTTTGGGGAATTGGGGAAAAAAATGCTAAGAATAAGAAAAGGATTTGGAATGACATGTGGACAATTTAAATTGATTTTACGCACAGTCCGCGAAAATGTAGCTTCCCCACGGAGATGTTTGAAATGACTTCAACACTCCGAACATGCAGTTCTCGACAAGAGTCGTGCAACAATACCGGCGCACCCAGAAATGTGTATCTCTCCCACTGAAGCATACTCATACTATTGGATTATACAAAAACATACGATAGATTCTAGAACTGGTGTGTAAATTCTATTTGTTGTAAGACATGTTTGTATTCATTAACAGGTTTGATGGTATTCCTCCCCATTTTTTCATGTACGCCCTGTTCGGGCTGTAGGGCGGAAACAACTGTGAGGATTGTCAATTACTCACATTCTGACCGCATGGGCCAGAAAATGTTGGCTTGAAAAATGGTTCAGGATTGAATGGTACCAACCACTGGAACATGTCTCAGGCGAGCAACCGCTTGCGCTTCCTGTTCTTCGCTGGACTGGCCTCCAGTTAGAAAGGTTGGGTGAGGTGTTCCACGGCCGAATGGCGTCAGAACGTGAAACGTTACAAGGTGGTGCTCCACAGTTAGCTACGGTGGTTTTGTGCACTATAGACTATATAATCTATATAAGTGTAAGTAGGAATTATGATGATGGTAACATGTCATAACTATATAGTTACAGTATACTATAGTTGCATGGGGTTGTAAACCAACTCATAGGGGGCACCACATTGTAGATGAATGATGAACGTTGATCCCTGGTGTGGCGAAATTGGGCTACCATCTTATTCGCAATTCGTCACTTTTTTGGGGCTGATGCACCTCAATAAGTCAACTCGGGTTTCATTGATCTTATCCAGGGTCGACACATGTTATATGGATGTTTCCTGAAATAGAGGTACCCCTAAATCATCCATTTATAGATGGATTTCCCATGAAATAAACCATCCAGCTATTGGGGTACCCCCATTTATGGAAATACAAAAATAAAGCCCTCCGTAAAACAATGCCATAAACCATCCCCCAGTCATCACCATTTTTATAAGTGCTATGTTTACCATTCCCAGACATGGGTGGTTTCTGGCATTGTTTTACCCACATCGATGGTTATATGATGGTTCATTTGATGGTTTACGATGCTAAAAATTGATGGTTAATGATGGTTAGATAGTTATATAATGTTGTATACCATCAACATCCATTGATTATAGACACTATTGATTATGAGCGTAATTACTTGTTAAAGATTAATCAATGATGGTTGATGATTCGTAATGTTGCATACCATCAAAATCCATTGGTTATAGATACTATAGATGGTTTATGATTCATGATCCATAAAACTGTTGGATTAAAAAAAAAACTCCTGTTTAAGGATCATTGTGGTTATAACATTAGTTATACCATCATATTATTGTTGGTTATACCATCAAAATCCATCAAAATCCAATGGTTATAATGTTGTTTATACCATCAACATCATATTATATAGGGATGATGGGATTAAGTCGGCTCCCTTCGTCCGTCTTCCTCAGCGCCCCACGGGCGGCACATCACTTCGTCGCTTGCCCGGCCTGCGGCTGTGGTGAGTTCGGCCGTCTGGTGGAAAATGGCCAATAAAGGAAAGTAATTATACACTATCTATAATTGATATTATATAACGATATTGACTTTATTTTATAATAATGTAATAAAGAAATCTATAGTGTAATATATCTATAATGATGTAATATCTATAATAACTACACAATAGATACTATATAACATATGATAGTGTATACTATACACTGTACACTGATACACTATCTATAATTGATACTTTGGATAATAATAAGATATTATTATATCAAATTATATCTACACATATCTACACTATGGCCGAAAAAAATAAGGTATCCTCTGGTTATGTAACATAGCCATGGTATAGATGGCCCATAGAAATAGACGGTTTACCTATTAAAAATGGTGATTTTCCATGGCTACAAATATGTTAAATAACCAGAGGGTATCCTTCTTCGGAAATGTAGATACTTTATGATCCTTTGCTAAGAACGAATCAGGTCTTGACATTAGCGATCACCTGCTGGGAAACGCAACCAGTCCTGAATGCTACCACTTGGTATCGACAAAAAAGTCCACGGTCTTCGGAGACTTACCAGGGCTTACCAGCTTCATCCACTTCTCCATACGGAATTCGGAATACCCGGCCATGGCCGAATCGGGAATATGATGAAGAAAACTATAAGAAAACCATGGGATTTGGGGTATAAAATTCACCAAAACTTCACCCACCCAAGCATAGCTGTTATCACCGGATGCTCCTTGCTCCAAAGCCAGTGAAAACAACATGAGGTCCGAGGCCGTGATGAAGTTCATCCGGATTGTTGTAATTGGCGCTTCATTTTTCATGACTCCCATAAATGATCGAAGGATCCTCCTTCGAATTAGGGGGGAGGTGTCGCACCAGGTTTTTTGTAGTATAAATCCCTGGGTCTTTGAAAAACCCTACAAAAAGGGTCGGTTTTTACGAGTTTTGGCCCTTACAAAAAGCATAGGGTTTTAGCACCCTCATTCGACTTCAAACACCCACCCCATTTTATAAGGTGACGACTTTCTTCCGAATATGGATGTCGAACATTTGCCGATGACCTTTTTATAAGAAGTTGTGATTTTAGATGGCGTTTTCAGGCATCATTTTGTAAGGACACAACTTCTGGTTCCCTGTTTCTGGTTTTCCCGGACTCGTTGATTTTCAAGCAGCCTTTTTGTAAGGATTCCATTTTTTGCCACCTTTTGGGATGTGTCAAGGCTGTGGGCTGGGGCCTTTTCGGAAATAGCCAAAACAGCTATCAAATGATTGAGGCGAATCAAAAACATGTACAAATCTGAACAATAACTTGTATCAATGCCTAAAAAGCATATATTCTTACAAAAAGGCTCTTCTAGTCTTGACGACATGTCCTTACAAAATGTCATTGCACACCCTGCTGAGTTCTTTTTTGTTTTTTTTGATGTTCAAAAACAGCATCTTGAGCTTACAAAAAGACTCAAAAAGACAAACTCGATGGTCTTATAAAATGACTTTGCACCTCAAAACTCTTACAAAATGAACACTTGAAAATCCACAACTTTGCCTTTTGGGTGCCCTGTTACAAAAAAGCCTGGTTAGGGACCTTGTTGTAAATACAAAATGACCCCATATAAACCATTTGTAAGAGGGTCGACACCTTCCATTCTGTAAGGGAAATTCGATCGGGGATATCGAAGGAAGTTTAGAAGTCAAACTTCCGACAATATGGACAGATGGAAAGCAGAGCAGGGAAGAGGCAGAGAGAAGAGGCAGAGAGAAGAGGAAGATTAGAAGAAAGAAGAGTAGAAGAGAAAGAGTAAGAAGAAAGAAGATGCAGATGCGCGAAAAGGTAGGAAAGTCGCGAAACACTGTGTTTTTCCAATGATTTGTGGCTCTGGGGGGTCGAAAAGTAGGCTCGCTAAAGCGGCGGGTGCGGAGCCAGCTGGCCAGATGAGTGATGAAAAATTGCACGCCGTTGTGGCGCGAAGCACATTTCCAAGTCAAAATGTACAAAACACACCATCTCGGACCACTTTTGGAAGTTGCGATGTCGAAAAAGTGCACGCCGTTGTGGCGCGAAGCACATCTCCAAGTAAAAATGTACAAAACACACCACGTTCGGACCACTTTTGGAAGTTGCGATGTCGAAAAAGTGCACGCTGTTGTGGCGCGAAGCACATTTCGAAGTCAAAATGTACAAAACACACCACGTTCGGACCACTTTTGGAAGTTGCGATGTCGAAAAAGTGCACGCCGTTGTGGCGAGAAGCACATTTCGAAGTCAAAATGTTAAAAACACCAGGGGTTCGGACCACTTTTGGAGGTTCAGATGTCGCTTCGCTTCACTACACTACACTACATTACACTACACTACACTCCACTACACTACACTCCACTACAGTACACTACATTACACAACACTACAACTACAACTACACTCCACTACACTCCACTACACTCCACTGTATACACTCCACTACACTAAATTACGCTACACTACACTACATTACACTACACTACACTCCACTCCACTACACTACAACTACAACTACGACTACACGACTACACTCCACTACACTCCACTACACGAAATTACACTACACTACACTACATTACACTACACTACACTCCACTACACTACACTACGTTACACTACACTACATTACACTGAATGACACTGCACCACAGATAGACAGGTAGACAGGTAGACAGGTAGACAGGTAGACAGGTAGACAGATAGACAGATAGATCGATTAGATTAGATTAGATTAGATTAGATTAGATTAGATTAGATAAATAGATAGATAGCAGGTAGACAGATAGACAGATCAAAGAAAGAGAGAGAGATAGATAGATAGATCGATAGAGCGATAGATCGAAAGATCGATAGATCGATGAAAAGATAGAAAGATAGATCGATAGATCGATCGATCGATCGATAGATCGATAGATCGATAGAACGATAGATCGATAGATCGATCGATCGATAGATCGATCGATAGATAGATCGATAGATCGATAGATCGATAGATCGAGAGATCGATCGATCGATCGATCCATCGATCGATCGATCGATCGATAGATAGATAGATAGATAGATAGATCGAAGATAGATCGATCGATAGATCGATAGATCGATAGATCGATAGACCGATAGATCGATAGATCGATAGATCGATAGATCGATAGGTAGATAGATAGATCGATAGATAGATAGATACATAGAAGATAGGCTGGTAGGTAAGTAGGTAGTCAGAGAAAGAGAGAGAAAGAGAGGAGACCTCAAGCACCTTTCGGTCCATCAGTGGATTCGCTCTGCCATCCCTGATTCACAACAGCCAATCTCTCCTATAGGTTTCCTATTTTTGAAACTTCCGCCACCGCCTTGTGCGGTACTACTGGTCTCATAAGCCCTTGGATAAACCCATGGATTATGGCTTCTCATCCCTATATCTATATCGTAAACCATCATTTTTTAATGGTACAAAGTGACCTCGACCAAGTCGTCATATCCATGATGAAAAAAATCCCGAATCCTCAGTTTCCCACCATGTTTCTGGTTTTTCACCGTGATTCAGCAGTGCAACAGCCTCTGTGTCGCATCATTCGCTGGCTCGGACCTTGGACATCTCGGAGTTCAACTGATCAAGAGGATGGGACATACCGACATACCATCTGAAAAACCCTCCAGTTGTACTGATAAACATGACTATACCCATTTTACCCCAGAAATTCAGTACTTTTACCCAATGTTTATAGGTACAACTGGAGGGTCTAGGCAGAAGAATGTTGCAAAGGAAGTATTTTGAAGATGTTCAGCTGGGGATAGAAGCAACCATAGTATGGTGATGTCAAAGGGATGTAACATCACGTGTAAATGATTTGGAGATGATCATACACCCATGTTTGGCGTCTTGCAAGCTTCCTACACGCTTGCTCCCTTGTGTTGACCCACATCCATGTGACTGTCCTTAAAATGCGGGGCTGCCATATCTGGGAACACTCAGAAAATGGATGAAAATTGTAGTTTTTTCCCACTGAAGCATATATGTTTTCAATGATGGTGGCGGTCCAGGGCTCTTGGAAACACCCATTTAAATGCATTTATTCTTAACATTGTTCCATGAATGCATGTTTCATGGCTACATTCTCCATCTTTTGTGTCGTGTCTAGTCGGGTCGCAACCCCCAAAACGACAGAGAATCTCCTGCAAGTATTGTCCCCATTGGATAATAACGGTAGAAAACCAAGAGGATCCACCATCCCTCAAATTCAAATGGATGGTATATTTAGTATAAACATGTCGTAAACCAGCAAAATATGGGTTGTTTATGGCATTGCCAACAGTACTCCTTCACCGGTGGGCAGCCCTTGAAAGATCCGTCCACCTCAACCCTTAAAACCATGCGTCTCTATGTCCATGTCGTCGTCTTCTTCTTCCGGTTCCTGGGGCGTCTCTATATCCATGTCGTCGTTTTTTGCTTCCAGTTCCTGGGGCGTCTCTATGTCCATGGCGTCGTGTTTTGCTTCCGGTTCCTGGGGCGTCTCTATGTCCATGTCGTCGTCTTCTTCTTCCGGTTCCTGGGGCGTCTCTATATCCATGTCGTCGTGTTTTGCTTCCAGTTCCTGGGGCGTCTCTATGTCCATGGCGTCGTGTTTTGCTTCCAGTTCCTGGGGCGTCTCTATGTCCATGGCATCGTGTTTTGCTTCCGGTTCCTGGGGCGTCTCTATGTCCATGTCGTCGTCTTCTTCTTCCGGTTCCTGGGGCGTAAACTTAAGATTTGAAGGCTTCAGCATGGATCAACCCCCAGAAATCTATCGTTGGGCCCAACGCTGAATGGTGACTGTCATCCATTCGGAAAACGAACATTGACAATTGGGAATGGATGACCCATGATGACCCTATTTAAGGCAGCTGACTGTTTAAAATATGCCGGCATATTTAGCATATATAAGTAACGAGCTGTTAAGGTCAGAAATGACCGCTTTGAACTTTTTCAGCTGGCCCAAAAAAAACACCCAAAACACCCAAGTGGACATCCGGCAACGCACCAAGGGGCAGGTGTTATGGTAACATATGGTAACTCCACTTGGATTATTGGGATTTTGCTGGAGGGTTCCCCCGTGGATTTCCTGTTGGAAAGAGGTCCGTGGTGAATAAAGGATGGGTCCATGGTTGAGCCAACCCCTCTGAAAGATGATGGAGTGAAAGTCAGTTGGGATGATGACATTCCCAATATGATGGCAAAAATAAAATTCCATGGTTCCAAACCACCAACCAGCTGTGGATTGGTTTAGTCGGGAAAATCTTCACCGAGGACCGATCACATTTTTTCGGGGTTTCCGGTGTCAACAAATTCCCATCATCCAATTCTGTGAAAGCCCCAGCGAATCGATTCCCCAGTGGTGGATGTGAATTGATCATCGACCCAGTCCTCCAACGGCTCGTCCGGGATCACGTCTTCAATCTGCGAGCGATGGCAGCGATGAGGTAAGTTTTTGGGTGAAGCGCTGGCGAATCCTATGGGTTAGTATCTGTGTTAGTGAATATCTGTAGTGAAGATCTGGTGAAGCAAATGTTGGTACTGAATATTTATATAGTTTATATATGAACATCTACAGTGAATCACTGATGAATCACTGAATTGGTGACCAAATGATGTGGAGCTTGGTCTGGATAGTGTATCACATGCATCCAGATGGATCACTGGTGACTTGGTTCACCTATATGTAGTGAATCACTGGCTATCATCGGCCAATTACAACGATTTCTATTGGTGGTAACGACAAAACAATGGTTTAGAATAAATCACTGATGAATCATTGGTGGATTGCAGGAGAATCACTTATATCAATTGATATAGCCATCCGGTGCACTCCGGAGAGTCCTGTCCTAGGAAAATAACTGGGTTATTTTTGGGGTCCTGACCTTTTCGAAATTAAAATCCTGGTGCCTGACCTTTCTTGCCGGAATTTACATTCTCAGACGAAAAAAACTTGCAGGCACTAAATTCCTAATGCCCAAGGTTTCCAGAAAGGCATGTCTTCCCCTCTGTTACTAATTAAATTCCTGGGTGCCAACCCTCATACAATGCTCAACAAACCACCCCTCAACATATGCTGTTAATAGACTAATTTCCTGGGACCCAACGTTTGTACACCGCAGGAAAATAATTTTGAAATATTTAGAACTATTTTGAACCAAAATTATGTTCCTGGGTTCGAACGGACGCATGGATCAGCATGTGCAAATCGGGGATTTCAAAATTATTCATTTTGATAGTGGACTCCCAGGAGAATAATCTGCATCACCAGATGGCTATAATTGATAGTGTAGCACCCCACAATTCATTGGTTGGACCAGTGAATATTACTTGCTTTTACTTACATCCACTATGTGTTTGGGGGGTGCCCCTAAAACGAAATAAAACTCTACGATGCTATACGTACTGTTGATCGATGGTCCAAGGTTACTGCTATTGGTCCATTGGTGGGGTCCAGGTCCACCAGGTCCACCAGGTCCACCAGGTCCGTGGTGAATAAAGGAGGGGTCCATGGTTAGTACGCCTACCCCTCTGAAAAATGACGGAGTTAAAGTCAGTTGGGATGATGACATTCCCAGAACTGAATGGAAAGTCCTATAAAGTCCTAAAATTCCATGATTCCAAACCACCAACCAGACAATATTGCCGTAAATATTCAAATTACTTTACTTCGTGTGATCCCCACCATGACATTTATACATTTTCCTACTGGCAAATCTTCTGAGATTCTATCTGGCATATCTTCTGGCATTCTATCTGGCATATCTTCTGGCATATGTTCTGGCATATCTTCTGGCATTCTATCTGGTAAATCTTCTGGCATTCTATCTGGCATATCTTCTGGCATTCTATCTGACTTATCTTCTGGCATTCTATCTGGCATATCTTCTGGCATTCTATCTGACATATCTTCTGGTATTCTATCTGACATTCCATCTGGCATATCTTCTGGCGTTCTATCTGGCCGTTGAGGCCCGGCAGTGCCCACTGCGATCTGGAAGTCGCGGTTGAGGTCCGGCAGTGCCCACTGCGATCTGGAGCTCGCGGTTGAGGTCCGGCAGTGCCCACTGCGACCTGGAAGTCGCGGTTGAGGTCCGGCAGTGCCCACTGCGATCTGCAACTCGCGGTTTGAGGTCCGGCAGTGCCCACTGGGATCTGGAGCTCGCGGTGGAGGTCCGGCTGTGCCCACTGGGATCTGGACTGCGAGGAGGAGGCGGCGGGTGAGGAGGCGGAGGAGGCAGAGGAGGAGGAGGCGGTGGAGGAGGAGGAGAAGAGCTCTGTTAAAATCTAGCAACCCTCACCTGGCAGGTGGGGAAAAAGACCTTGACAATATTTGACAATATCACATCTGAAGGTATAAGTCGGCACTAAATCCACCCTTGTTTGCTCAGTGTTTATCTCTCTCCCTATCTCCATGGCTAAAGTCACCGGCCCCCACTGCCTCCTCCGGCGCTTCCGGCGCTTCCGGTGCTTCCGGTGCTTCCTCCACTTCTTCGTCCGGGAACTGCAACTTGGCCATGCCAAAAGTCTTCCAAAGGCCGGTCAGGCAATGCCCTTCCTGAAAAACAAGGGGTTGGGATGTTGTTTCGCAATGTTGGGAAAGAACTTGGAAATAATCCTGGTGATGTTGGGAAGTTGAAACCATGTGTGTTTTCTCTGTTTTTTGTTGTCATAGCTTGCCATCAGAAAGCTGTTCACCTGCAATTGCATGGAGCACGAGGGATCACATCGATTCAATATCATTCAATATGATTCAATTGAAAGATGTTCACACAAAAATGTCGACTTACCTGTCATTTTATCATATTTTATCCTTCCAAATGTCCCCATCCCGCTTTCTTCCTTTGAGTTCCCCAAAATGTCCCCAATCCCCCAATCCGCTGTACCTCCGAGGTCGAAATGCCCAGCATATCACAGATGAAGCCTCCATCGTTTTTGGTCGAGTTTTTGTGGGGAAACGCACCCAGGCATTGGATGATTTTTGGAGATGAAAAAAAAAATATTGAAAATATAAAGAAAGAGGGAGAAACATGTGACCCACATCTTACTCAGCCTCCAAAAAAATACTGTAAGTCCGAATATGCGCAAATGTCGGAATCTCCAAAAAAGAAAAGAGAAGGGACAAGAACGGCTTTGTGCCAGTCCTCTTTTAAACATGTTTCGATCATCCATTGATCCCTCAGAGCCCCACGGAGCTGTGCGAAGGCATTATTCTTCACTTCCTGCGAAGCGAAGCAGTGCCAACTGAAGCTACTGGGGACAGTCCCAAGTAATCTTGAATTGCTAATTGTCATGTAAGGTGAACATAGGTAAACATGGTTAAACCTCTAAGCATAAACCATCCAAAAATGGGCTTTACGGTTTTGAGATGATCCAGTGATTTTACATCTTTCGAGTTTGCCTGACTTTTTCACCTGTACCTGTCCCTGTCACAAGTATAGCACTTAAATTCGCTGGAAAATGTCCCACGTAAACCTGAACTGCAAAATATTGACTTACTGGTTGGTGGTATACCTACCCCTCTGAAAAATATGAAACGCAGTTGGGATCATTATTCCCAATATATGGAAAAATAAAAAATGTCCCAAACCACCAACCAGTTGACTTATGTTTTTCACAATGTGGATTTGTCTGAAAATAGGATACCCCTAGATTCACTGGTTCATCATTTTTCCCACTCAAATTGTTGTTCCCATATATCTAATCATCAGCCCACATCACATCAATTAACAATGGCTACCCATAATTAAATGGTTTATCACTATATTTCCATAAAATAATGGCATATCAATGGTATATCACTATACTTCCAATGGTTTATCGCTAAATTTCCATGAAATATGGCTATTTGATGGTATATCCATTATATTTCCAATGGTTTATCACTATATTTCCAATGGTTTATCAATGGTACCCTCTGGTAATTTAACATAGCTATTGAAAATGGCCATAGAAATAGTGGATTTACCCACTGAAAATCGTGGATCTTTCCAGTTCGCTACGTTAGTTTACCAGAGGGTATATCCAAAAAAATCTCACAGACATGTCGCCCACGTTTCTGGCCCCTCCCCATGATTTCGCATCTCGTCCTCTTTGGCGGCCGTGACCTTCTTGTAGACCTCCGCATCATAGGCGTGCAAATCTCCAAAGGCGCTCAGCCTGAGGGATGCAACCGAATAATGGTGGTCAGGCCAGTGATCATTAATTATCCATTGGGATGATGATTATTGTACCAGTATATTAATGATGATTAATATTATAGATAATGACTATACAATAGTGATAATGGTGATTAATAATAGTGATACTACAATAGTGACTATTGGGATAATGGTGATTAATAATATTATTGTAGATAAAGGTAATGATTAGTCATGACATGTCATGACATTGTTATATTAATGATGATAAATATTATTGACAATGACAATAATGACTATAATGATGATTAATATTATGCAATAGTCCATTGGGATGATATTATTGTCCCAATGATCATCGAATAACATCATTATCATTGTATACTATCAATTGATAAAGTATAGATCATTGGGACATTTTACATATTTTACAATAGTATACAATAGTAAGTAGATGTAAATAGTACATATATATACAGTATATACACCTAATGGGATAACAATGGAATACCGATTTGTGGGATAAGAATCTGGAATATGTTTGGAATAATATTATTCGATCATAGTGGGGTCAATCATTTTGCCTGTCCTGTCTATCTCAGCCCATATGCCCCAACCATTTCTGCCGAGCGTCATCAAGTTGTACTTTTCCAAGACTATCTTGGCTTCGGGAACCTCCTTAAGCTGCACATTCGCCTGCACATTTGCTGGGCTCCAAGAGTGGGTTTGGTCGAATCATATGGAGTGCCAATAAACCCACAATTCATAGTGACATAGTTTGTTTCTATAGTAACTATAGTAGTCACATAATATAATGCGACCATCCATTTTGGAGGGGTTGGTAATTGTAACCTTACCCAGCCGCTCATTTGGGCTCATAGGGACATTATATGGTCCACAGAATTGGTCTTCCATGGGCGTTTTGAGCTGCAGCAGCTGGGGCTGAAAATGCGAGATAGCCCCAACCTTTTGAATCAGGACCTCATTCCAGTGACCGATACCAACTCCATTTGGGATGGAAAAATTCCTCAGTTGGGATGCTAAGCCAACTGAACTCCGGGACGGGTATCAGTGACGTTGGTGCCGGATGTGAAATCACATGGCTTTGGGTGTTGAAAATGGGGGATCAACCCCAGATATGGCTATCTCAATAGGGAAAATATGATAAACCATGTACCCTCCGGTCAACTAACATGGCTATTGAAAATGGCCCCGTCGAAATAGTGGATTTAATGATTTACCCAGCTACAAAATGGTGGTGATTTTCCATAGTTTTTCGTATGTTTACCAGAGGGTATGTCACCATAGGCAGCCTCAGGGGGGGGGGCATATCCCACCTTGCCATCTACCGCGCTTTCGAGCTCATCAATGCTGCCCTGTTCGGTGAAACACTGCGGGCTCCAATCGGTAAATCATCACCATTTGTCGATTCTGACCGGTACCCGGCCTGGTAAACATACAAAAAGCTATTGAAAATGGCCCAGTCGAAATAGTGAGTTTTCCCAGCTACAAAATGGGGATTGTTCCATCGTTTTTTGTAAACGTTTACCAGGCCGGGTAAATCATCGAACTTGACAAATGGCTTCCATTGTTATGGTCTGTAACAAATGACCAGAGGAATTGACAAATTGACCATTGAAAAAACAGCCTCTGTCGGATTTTGGGGAGCAGAGAGTTCACCGTGCAGTGGATTCTGATGAAATCCCCAGTCTGTCGGTATAAGTGATAAATAAATAACCTATAATAAGTGAAATCCCACCGAAATCATCTGATATTTACACAATATATAATATGTTACAATAAATAAATAAACCTATAATAAGTATTAATAAGTGAAATCCAGCCGAAATCATCTGTAATCCTACCAGGAGGGTTGAACACCGGCGCCAAGGTACATAGTAAGCTTGCACAGCTCGTCGGATTTTCATCAAATATGCTCTGGTCTTCCTCAATTGGAAGGGGGAGACGGGCTAAGGGCCAAGTGGGAAAAAAACACGGATTTAAGTTATTTAAGCGTTGAACTTGAAGTCATAAAATCCTGGAACAAATCATGAAGCCATGTATTTTCAGCCACCTTCTCTTTAATTAAGGTACTATATACAAGACATTGCAGTACATTACATTACATGGCATGGCATTACATTGAATTTACATTACATTGCATTGAAGTTGCATAGCATTGCATTGCGCTACACTACAGTGCAGTATGTTACATAGATACAAATAGACACGTAGAGAAAGCAATGTTTTTCCATGTATAGTACTAGCACGTATCTAAATGTCTGTAAATATGTACATATACATGTGTTGCTGTATATCTACAATATATACATTTTGTAGAAACATCCTGACAATAACCGACCCATACACTCTTATTGGTTATCATGACCAATCTATACCTGTTATTTGTCAACCCCCGATGCGTTTTTGGTTGAAACACCATTTTCAGACCAAGGCTACTAGTTTCATATTGATGATTATCTCAGAAATCCCCATAACATGTTTTTTTGTATAAAAATCGGCTGATTTATCTGCATGTTCTTTCTGAAGTTCCTATTTGGAATGGTATCCCTCATTTTCAGACACACCCATATCCATGATTCATTGGTTGAAACGCTATTGTTTTTGATGGTTACAGTAGATCCACATAACTTGACTAGCTAAACCTCCATTTTTGAGGGGTTTTTAGTCACCATAAACATCTCTGCCACTTCCATTTCCCATCTTGATAGTTCAGAAACCCAACAAACATTAAATTAATACATAGTATTATTGTTGCCTTCACCAACATTGTTGGTAACAACACCATATTTTGGTTAAATCAAATGTTCAATGGTTTAAATCTACACATTTCATAGAATTCTCATAGTTTTCCCATATGTTTCCCATAAAATCCATAAAATGGTCCATAGAATTTCCAGAATCCATACTTTTCCTGGAGTTTTCCATACTTTTCCAGACTTTCCCAAGGGTCAAATCCCCGGGTTCCTCGGTTTCCACCGAGGATCTTGGCCACCTCCACGCGTCCGTCGGCCTCGCGCGCCTCGTTCACCGCCTGCGCCTCCTGCGCCTCGGCCACCGTGGCGGCGCTCACCGCGGTCTCCAACTCGCGGCGCATGGCCTGGAGCTCCTGGGGGCCAGAGATGTTGGGTTAATAGCTAAGGAAATTCTATGTTAATCATTAATTAGCTATTAATAACCAGGAAAACTATGTTATTTCCAGAATCCATACTTTTCCATAGCTAATTTTCCTGATTTTCATAGGGTAAATCAATAATGATGGTTAATAGCTAAGGTTATTAATAGCTAATTAATGATGGTTACTGCCTAATTAATCAATATTATTAATCAAAACCCATAGGATTTACCTAATAATCATTAATTATCATGGTTTAACCATGGTTACCATTGGTTAAATCATGATTAATAATCCATCAAATATCATATATTAAATTATTATTTGTTAACCATCATTTATGAAAATGATTAATCATGATGACAGTAATGGTTGATAACCTAATGACAGTAATACAGTAGTGGTTCTAAATCCTCATAGGATCAATAGGATTTTGAACAATGGCTAATAACCATATTAGGAAGGGTAAATGTCATCAGTAAATGTCATGTAATATGACATAGTAGAACTATAATTATAACTATACCTGGTTTGAATTTGTGTTTTATAGAATATATGTTGAGTTATTCAATTGTCTATTTCTTTGTCCTATATATTACTATAGATATCATATATGGTGAAGCCAGGGGAAAAATTGGGAGATGAATGGGGATGAAAAATGGTGAATTTCATGGTGATTTCATGGGTGATTCCAGTGGGATTTGAAATGATATCATACCCAAAGAAATTGATCAAAATAGTGATCAAGAAAAGCACAAAGTGGGGTCTTATTTACGATAGCCAAATTGCTTTAGTTCGCTTGGGTTTCGGGTCCCTAGATATATAAATGAAGTGTGATATAAACCAACAAGCAATAGGTGGGGGGGCCGCCTTGTATGCATGTATTATGGTTTGTCTAGGCAAATCCGGGGGATCGACGTAAACATATCATTTTGGCATACTTGGTGAGATATTGGAGGTGTTAACCCAGGGAACTTAGTCTATTTAACCAACAAGAATGCTTGCTGCTTTCACCAATTGTGGATTGAATTCCGATGCCATGATCTCTCATGTAAAAACAAAGGTCTGGACAACAAACATATCACTGCGGTAGATGTGTAGTAAATGTTACGATATGATATGATATCTATACCATATATGAGTTGGTATAATATGGTGTCATATGATATGATGTACAGCAACTCCAAAAAAACATAAGTTCGTGAAAACCCCAAATCTCACTGACATAGTGGTAAATTGCTGCGCTGTTCCCCATCTTTGGGGGGATTACTATAGACTATATATATATATATTATCATATCATACGACAAAAACCCTCAGAATCAAACGTTTCATGGCTGAAAAGAGAACATTTTGCAGAAAATACATAGAAATACATGATTTCTTCCAGGATTTTATGACTTCAAGTTCAATGCTTAAAAGATGATATGTTCCCATGAAAAAAACTCGAGAAAACTCGGGGATTTTCCATCGTCACGTCAAAAATGACACTCCGCCGGAGTCCTGTTGTGCAAGTTGCATGTCCCTTTCGACTTTGGCCTGCTCCTGATTCAGGTGATCTCTTTCGAAAAACCCGAAAAAAGTGGAACTCCTGATGTTTTTTCATAGGTAAAATATGGCAAACATGACATATTTATTGCAAAAAACATGGGGTAAATATCAGTGGCTTGGTCTTGTTGGGAAAATGAAAATCAGGAGCGTCCTGCTGAAATTCGCCCAAAAAAAAGATCGAAGATTCCGGTTTTGAAGATGGTTGATCTGCCCTCCAACTGGCCCCATTTCTCACACAAGGACGCATCCCAACAAAAGACTAACCATACTTCAGGAATAAACACATCCTTCAAAACCCTACAGAGACCACCTTGAATAGCCAATGCAATTCAGCTTCATGCCCATTTTGAGCCACGGCTATGGCAAGAATCCAACTCTCTCTGATCTCAAAGGGGAGACCTCAATCACCTCAATCCCACACCGCAAACAACACTTAAATGGTAGCGCATCCACCACCACCACGAACAACAACAACAACAATAACAACAAACCATCCAGATCGCCTCTTGCACGCTAGTCTTGAACTTCCCCGCAGACATGGCCTGCAGGTTTCAATCTTCCCATAGAAGCGAGCACAACCAGTCAGCTTGCCGATCATCAAGATACATATTATTATTAGTAATCCATAATTATGATCATCTAGGGCAAGATCCAGATAGATAGTTATAATAATCAAATATCATCAAGTACATCCACTCATATCTCCATAATTATGATTATTGGTAGGGAAGGAGACAATGAATAATGGATACTAGGAACAAAAAGAACCAACGATGTTGTGGAGGTATATGGTCATGATCGAATGGCATCCATGATGATCATTGGTATATATTGGTACATTGAAACATGTTGAAACTAGAGAGTCTATGACATACATACATACATACATCCATACCATACATACATACATACATACCATACATACATACATACATACCATACATACATACCATACATACATTACATACATACATACATACATACATACATACATATATACATACATACATAC